ACCTGGAAGTCCAGTTCCAGGGGATCCAACATTCTCTTCTAGCCTCTAAGAACACTGCACATATGTAGTGCACAGACACACATGAAGTCAGAACACCCGTATACCAAAAAAAAAAAAGAAAAGATACACAGTTAAATAGTCTAGCTACTTTTCTTAATTCATGGTTGCAAGCCAAAAAAATAAGTAACAAAATCATTTCTGTTTATTCTTGCTAACCTGAGAACCAAATATTTATCTGAAATTGTGGCAGACTTACATTTTCAAAGATTTCAAAACATTTCATTGCAGTTTTTAAAAATTACTAATTTGTTGGATGGTGCTGGCGCCTGCCTTTAATCCCAGCACTCGAAGACAGGCAGGTGGATCTCTGTGAGCCAGCCTGGTCCACACAGTGAATTCCAGGACATTCAGGGCTACACAAAGAAATCCTGTCTCAAAAAAAAAAAAAAAACAAAACAAAACAAAACAAAAAACAACAACAAAACACTCCACAAGAAAAAAAAAAACATGAGCTTACTATATTTGTGATGGAACTGAAAGTAGGTTCCATGCATATACCCATATTAGACATAAACAGAAGTAGAATTAAATTTCCCACACACCCTTCAGAATCCTACAATGACATAGACAAAAGCTCAGTGTTTACAACATCTGAGCAAACTGCTTCTCCCTCCTCTGCTTATAGTCCCAGTTACAACAGTAGCCCAGTGGTTTTCCCTGCTTGTCTCCTTAAGTGTCAGTCACCACCGTGAACAGCACACAGCTATCACTTAGCACAGACCCTGACACAAATACTGACTTGTACCTCTTAATTCTTCTTCCTTCCCCTTTATTCTCCTTTGTTGGGGACTGCAGACCCTCATGAGTTCATGATGATAGGGGAGTGGTTTCTGGTGGGCTTGCAGCTGAAAAGTCCTGAGAACTAGGGTGTAGCCATTAGTCAAGAAGAACCCTAGCAGTTCAAGCTGCCCTTGAACACAATAAAAGGGGCATTCTTGTTTCAAGGATGACGTGTGTGTGTGTGTGTGTGTTTCAATCTTGAGCCTCTTGACCGACAGGCAACAGGTCCCGTGGTGTATGGGCAGAACAGTATACTCCTTGACTCTCCCCACATCCTTCTTTCTTCTTCTTTTTCACTCCATCACCCAGGCAACAATATTGAGAACTCACTCTCTAGGTAGTGTTATTAGTGGGTGTGGCGGTGAGAGCCTGCTCTCTCAGTTTCGATGTTTCTTTTCAAATACTCCGCATACAGTTACAGAACAACCTATCTAACTGAAGAGCTTTGCCCTTTAAAATATCTTCCTGTGGCCTGGAGTTGGCTCAGAGCTTCAGAGCACTTACTGTTCTGCTCCTGCAGACCTGGGTTCAGGCCCCAGCACCTACATGGCAACTAACAACCTCCTGGAACTCCAGTTCTAGAGAATTCAACGCCCTCTTTTGGCCTCTGTATGTACTGCATGTACACAGTACACAGAAGTACAGGCAGGCAAAACACCAATATGAATCTCTTAAAAAGAAAAATATAAATATCCATGTGTTCTCTCCAGCTGGCATCTGGAGATCCTTTAGCACTCACACCAGCTTTCCCAGACAACTCTCCTATGACCCCAGCAGCTGGACCTGACAAGATGTCACAGCATCAAGTCACACAACATCCCCAAATAAGCCAACCCAGGAAACCAAACAGTAAAGAAGAGATTAAAATGGAGAGAGAGACTGAAAGACGGACAATCACTATTTCCCACAGGTGTTCTGATACCGTCTTGAGGTCAGGAGACGTAGTTAGACACAGGGAGACCACTCCTCTCTTCAAACAAGACATGGTCATCACTCTGGAGCAGGTAAAGGAAGACCTTTACTATAAAGATAAGGCCTTTCTCATACTGGGGCCAGGACAACTTTCAGAAGTCCCCTGTGGAGGGAGAGTCCCGAAACAGACGCAGTGCAGCAGTGAGCTACCCCAGTAGGTAGAAGACAGTCAGAAGAGGGTACCATGTCGGTATATACCTCAAAAGCAGCGGAGAAGTGACCACCTGTAAGCACAACCTAGTAAGAAAGCAGCTGTGGGGCTCCCAGGAGGCAAGGAGGTTCTGCTCTGCCAGCAACCCTAGAAACCAGAACTCTCTGAAGAGCAGGGTGGAGCAGGGCCAAGTTCAGTGCCAGGGGACAGCCAGAGGAATAAAAGCAGGATATACGTAAGAGAGATAGTTCAGCAGAAAACTTGTACATTTCCTGAGGCAGAGAAGTTTTGTCATAATACGTGGTACAGGAAGAAATGCAATTATATGTTGTCACAGGCAAATGACCCTATAGACTCAAAGGCAGTATTTTCATGTTCTTAAATGACAACTGTTACTGATGTATTTTAGTGGCTACCTTCCTTTCTTGGTAAACAGTAGGTGTCTTCAAAGCAGAAACTACTTTTTCTATAAAACACTTTCAGACTGAACCCTTGCCCCTTGCCAGTTCATTCCCCATGAATTCCCGCAGAACAAATATTCACAGTGATATGCAGCCACCTTTCTGGTGATAAGTGAATTCTTTGTGGTCGAGGCCCTGGTTGTAGTGTTGTGGAGTAATCTACATGAAAGATAAAGCTTCCTTTACAACAAGGACAGTACTGACGAAATCCATAACTGCACATAAAATTAGGTCCTTAAATATAACAGGCCAACTTACTAGTAATCATTGCTCCAGTTACAGAAGCCAGAAAGCCGATGCTGACAGCAATGACAGAGATCACTCTGCCCTGCCTGTGCCTCTGCAGCATCACAAACATCAGCACGCCTGCAGCACCGTGGACGAACAGAGAGGAGAAGAGAGCCCAGAGGAAGATCCAGTACCACATCTCTGAAAGGAAAGAACAGTGTTAGTTCTGCTGCAGAAATACAGGTGAGAGAGCCCATCAGCAAACAGTGAGCAGCCAGGCCTGGGGAGAAGCCTCAGTGAGATCTGCATATAAAAAGGTCTAGCCTGCTGTCTGACACACAGCATCACTAAGCAAGTCAGTGATTATCATTACTGCTAATGCCTGATAGAGAAGAACTCCTTCATGATCTCAGAGTAATGGCCACACTGCCATTTCCTTTCCATATCCCACTTAGAAAGCAATCCATCAGCTCGTCTCCTGTCACTTTAATAATCTTAGCCAGGACTTTCACAATCCTTTATGCCTTCTTCAAATGCTCCCAATGGGCTGTTCACTGTTGTCTTAATACACCACAGGGACAGAGCACACCCTACTGTCTCTCATACCGCTGATGCCCTGTGCTTGTGTAACTCCATCTCCCTGGCCACATCCAAGAGGCACATTCTGTACAGGCAGCAGCTGCTCCAGGTGAGGCCAATTCTTCCCTTCCCCTGGAATACTTGATTGGGATGCGCTGACTCTCCTCCATCTTTGGGTAAACCTATTTCCTCCTTGTACAGTGCAAGTTACAGTACAGAAAGAAAGGAGACCCATCAAAGAGACAAGAGGTCCCCAAGTCTAATATTTCAGTGACTTCTGAGGTATGTCACATTCCTATCCTAAAATAGAAGCTAACACCCCAGTTTCTCTGTAATAACACACTTGTTTCATGTGAAGTAATTCAGAGAAAACTGCTTCTGACTGAGAAGCTGTCTACCATGTTTAGTCACCCTCGAGAGGGTGCTCTTTGGGATGCAAACATCCTACGAGGAAGGACCTCCTCTGCTGTTTATGCTGCTTGTATTTTCTGTCAGGTCACTACAGAGAGACACATTTTTTAAAGTAAGCCCTATTCATCCAAATATCATAGTGGACATTTGTAATGACACAACTACCGTGAAAAACAGTTTGGCAGTTCCTCAAAAATCTAAGAACAGAATCACCATACGATCCAATGCCATGTCTCTGTATGTATCTGTAGTGGTTAGTTTTTACTGTCAATGTGACAAAACCCAGAGTGACCTGGGAAAAAAGGAACCTCAATTAAAGAGCTGCCCGGATCAAATGTCCTGTTTCTGAGGAACTGTTGATGGATGACTGCTGTAAGAGGGCACAGCCCACTGTCTGTGGTAGCACACCTAGACTGTATAAACAAGCTGCTGAGGGCCGGAGAAACGGCCTACCAGTTAAGAGCAAAATTCACTTCCCAGCATCCACAACATAGCTCACAACTCTCTTAAACTTCAGGGGATCCAAAGCCCTTTTCTGGCATCCATGGGCACCTGGCATACACACATATATGTATAAGCAAAATACTCACATTCATAAAATAAAAATAAACTTTAAGAAAGCTAGCTTACGAGTTAGCATGCCAAAGTGGACGAGGCAAGTCTTACAGGGCCCCAACCCTAGATGAAGAGCTATAGGCGATGAATGACTGCTGAGGGAGGAAAGCCAACACCAAGTGCTCCGCTCTTAGAACATATACAGACAAAACTAAGTGGACTCAGCAGGTTCTATTTATACATTGTTATATATGTAACAAAATTACATGTAACAAAATGTAAGTAAAGAGAAAGGGACAAATGTTTTGGTAATTAGGAAAGAAGGGAGGGAGGGAGATAGGGGACCAGCGAGATAGCTGAGGATGAGCACCATGATGGACTGTGATCTAGAAGTGTAAACAGGCGCTTTTCTCCCTCACGTGCTGTTGGTCATGTTTTTTGTCACAGCAACAGAATGAAACAAGAACAGAATTTAATAACAAGGAAAGTAGGATGTCTGTGTTACTTTTTGTCTAGAATTTTAGGCTGGAAAAGTTGTTGAATGTTGTAAGCCGAATTTAAAAGGCTATAATGCTGAAAGAAATGTGAACAGTGGAGGCTTGGATTATGAGGAAGAGGGGGAATGGATACAGGCCATTCGTGTGGTATTTGACAAAGAATCTGGCTATATTCTGCTCATGCCCTGAGAACCTCTTTGAGGAGAGAATAAAGAGTAACGAACTAATTTACTAGGCAGCGGGAATATCTGGCAACACAGCCCTAGATCTATGGTATGGTTATTACTGACTACTCTGATGCAGGCCTCCCAGGAAGAGAAGCAACTTGCAGCAGGGCAGAGAGAGCAAAACGTGCAGCTTGGAGGGGAAAAGAGTGGTAGGAAGCAGAAGACTGCAGTAGGGTCATGTGCTGAAAAAGAGGCTGTGACTGTTAAGAAGACAGACATCACTAAAGGGAAGGAAGCTTTGTGCTCTGCACTGGGATGAAGGGTGCTCTGAGGGCAAGGCCTTACCCTACAAACATACACCATGTGACAGAAGAAAGCCTAAGGGGTTCTGTTCCCAGAAAACAAACACTTAGCCAAGTTCATCCACACCATCAGCATATAGAAGCATCTACAACTATGGGCTAAGGGAATCCATTTCACTCTGGCAGCTGAGCTTAGCAGCGTCATCCACTTGGTCTGGTTTTGGGATATGAAAGATGCAAGGTGAAGGAGGTCATGGGTTCTTCCTTCACAGTTTCAGAGAGCTGCTGCATTTGTCAGGGTTCTCAAGGGGAATGAATCTATACAAACATGTCTCAGTAGTCCCAGGCTGGAGCTGGAGTCTCAAAGTCCTAGAGAGCTGATTGTTTTGGTCTACACTGGAATCCAAAGTAGGGTCTCACACAGCAAAGGGATGCCTCAGCAGCAGGAGAGATCGACTTGCTAGTAAGAGTGACAAAAAGCATGTAAAAACAAAAGTTCCCTTCTTTAATGTCATTTTATGTGGGAAGCCACCAAAAGCTGTGGCCTAGATTTAGTGTGGGTTTTCCAACTTCAAATGATTTGGACTTAGGGTGGATCTTCTATAACAAATGGTCCAATCAAAAAAAAAAAATCCTTCACAGGTACATCCAGCTGTGTGGTTTTAGTTACTCTAGATTCAGTCAAGCTGAGAACCAGGATTAGACAGCTCAGAACTTGAGGCCAGGTAGCATGTAGCAGGTTCAGAGCCTCTGGGAGGTCACTGTGTAGACTGTGAGCCCTGTGAAGTCTGGGGTGTGGTAGTGATCCCAAGATGTTGGAGATGCCAGAGTCAGGAGATAACCACCAAAGAGATCTGCATCCAGGAGTGGAAACCAGCCCAAAAGAGAGATGTATATTGCGAATGGAAAAGCTGGAGGGGCAGTGCCATCTAAGCCCTTTGAAGCTGAAGTTCTAAAGACTAGACGTGGAGCTACAGCATTTAGGGTTTCCCCTGCTGGGTTTCAGTCTTGCTTTGGTATAGTGTTTCTTCATTCTGCCCCCATTACCCCCGTTTTGGAGTGGACTGTATATTCTGAGAATTATATGCTGAGAGTGTGTAATTTGTTTTCAGTTTCACGGGGCAGGGGTCACAGTTAAGAGATTTCTTTGAGTCTTAGAAGAGACTTTGAACTTTTGAACAGTGTGATGGCTGTTAAAAGACTATAGGGACTTTTAATGTTGGACTGCACACATTTTGTATCATGAGAAGGCCAGGAGCCCAGAAAGGCCTGTGGTGGATGTGGTGGACTGACGGACAAATGTCCCTCCTGGCTAATGTATTTGTACACTTGATCCCCAGTAGGTGGTAGAGCGATCTGGGGAAGATACAGAGCCTTTAGGAGGTGGAGCTTTGTGGACTTTAGTGTCACCTCCCTTCCTACCCAGTTTTTCTAGCTCTGCTTCCTGTGTGTGTGAGACATGAGTTCAGCCAGCTTCCGGTTCCTGCCACCATGCCATGCCTTCCCTACCATGATGGACTCAAACCCCCAGAGTTGGAAGCCAGGATAAATCTATCTTCCTTACATTGATTTTAGTCAGAATATTTTATCACAGGAACAGAAAAGGAACTAATGCAATACCCCAACAAACAAAGAGTAGACTAGATGCTTTAAGAGACTGGCACAGCCAAGCTCATGCTATCATATTCACAACTGGGAGGCAGAAGCAACCCAAGTGTGCAACAACACACGAATGAATAACACATCATTACATAGATCGTGGGAAATTATTCCATTTTAAAAGGACAGAAAATTCTGTTACATGGTTCAACAAGATGAACCCCGAGGACATCTGTTGAGTGGGTCCTATCACATATCTACCACTTCCATTTGAAAATGGATCGCTGCTGGGCACATCCTACTTTATGACTTAGTGGGTCATAACACCCAGCTTGTGATGGGCAGTTCAGATAGCATGGCAACTTGGTGGCCCACTACAGCTTCCATTAAAGCCCCAAAGCAGGCCAAGAGCTGTCTCTCAAAGGGAGAATAGTTGTCTGCAGATGATGGTAAAGTCTTGCTCCAAAATCCCAAAGGTCTCTTCTGTGACTCACCTATAGAGGCCTGCCAAAGACCCCAAACAGCATCCCTATCTGCCAATGACACCTCAAGTACCATCAAGCCTGCTGGATCATATGGTCCATGGGGTAGAGCAGCCTGCACAAGAGCCTGGACCTGTTACAGAACAGAGCCTTCCCTTGTCCCAGGTCCTATTCAAAGCTGGCAGCTTTCCAAGTCACTTAGCATATGGGCCAGAGTAACACACCCAAGTAATGAATATGCTGACCCTGAGAAATACTTTTCAGAAGATTTTAGCTCAGTGATGCTTGTCTCTTGTCTCTTGTCACAGCTAATTTCTCAGTTCCATCTAACCAGCATAAACTATCACAGTTAAGCAAAGGTTTTCTTTCAGTGAGTCTGGTATCTTGTTATTCACAGCTGTTTCTTCAGCCTCAGCCTACCAGAATCACAAATCTTAACTCAAAATAGCAAATGGCTCTGATAGTCCTTAAGGGACTCTCAAAACTTCCCTCTGACAGACCATAAGCCAGGTCTCCATTGTCTGCATTGCTCTCAATGTTCTTATCCTCTGAGTTCCCACAGAACAGTTTGCTGAGCTTTGAACACTAAATGGCTTTTCCATCCTAAAA